GCAGGGTGGGTGTGAGCAGGGTGAGTGTGAGCAGGGTGGGTGAGCAGGGTGGGTGTGAGCAGGGTGTGTGTGAGCAGGTACAGGTGTGAGCAGGGTGTGTGTGAGCAGGTACAGGTGTGAGCAGGGTGCCTGTGGGCTGGGTGTGTGCAGACAGGGTTGGTAGCAGCGGAGTGAGCACAGGGAGGGTGGGTGAAGTCATGGTGGGTGGCAGGCAGATGCCATGGGAAGTCCTGGTGTGGCTTTGCTGGGCAGATGGAAGGAAACCATCACCCACTCAGGAGTGTTGGTAGGGTGTGGCCTCTGAAGGGGACGCTGCAGGCTGGGCTAGGGGGGTGACCCCACCATGCCTCTTGAGGGCACTTAGGGTGTAGGACAGCAGGCTCAGGCCATCCCCAACCCCCAGAGGGGAAGTGGGGCAGTTTGCTCAATCCTAGTTAATAAACTGGCATGGTGGTTCCTCCTGCCTTCTGCCTGCGCCTTCTCCTTCGCAAGGGGAACAGCCAGTCTGAGATGGAACCTCATGGCGTGCAGTAGGATAGGGATTTTCTGACCTCTCAGAGGCTATTTGGGCTCCTCAGAGCCCTGACTTTGAGGACATGAGTGATGAGCTGGCTGGTCTCATGGGTTCTGAGGTGGCAGGAGCTAATGGCAGGGGAGGCAAGGCCAGCACTGTGCCTCCTGGCCCTCAGCTGGTTTGGCAGCGCTAGACCTTTCTGCAGGTCTCATGGCATGATTTCCTGGAGCTGGCACCATATGCCACTTCCCTGCCATGAATCAGTTGTTTGCCCTTGGACCCACCAAAGCTCCGTGAACTCATCTGGCTGTGCGGCTGGGGAACCGCACCTGTACTGGGGCCAGTGTCGGGCTGGGGGGAACAAACGCATGGTCTGTGCCTTACTGCCTCTAAGCTGTGACCTGCTTGGTTTCCTGTCAGTGAGAAGAATGGGTTCCATGTCAGAGGAGCTCAGCTTGGTCCCCTTGCACCAGAGGCCGGAGCTGCTGGAAGCCTGTGCCAAGCTGCTGGGCGAGGAGTGGGGGAAGAGCCGGGCGTCGCGGCTCCACTCACTCCAGCGCTCCTCGGACGCCTTTCCCACCTGCCTGCTGCTGCTGCGGAGCCAGGGCCCCAGCGAGACCCCTGCCGCCCAGGAGGGGCCCTGCGAGCTCGTGGGCCATGTCCGACTCTCCCGTGTGGTCGGCTGTCCCCATGACCTCTTCGTGGAGAGCGTGGTGGTGGCCCGGGCGCTGCGGGGCCAGGGCTATGGGCGGCGGCTGATGGAGGCCACTGAGCAGTGGGCCCGAGCCCGGGGTTTTCGCTGCCTGCACCTCACCACCCACGACAAGCAGCATTTCTATGCCCACCTGGGCTATGTCCTGGGT